TTGGAACCTTTTTCATAATTGTTGCCATTTAAAACATTTAGTCTGTCAAATCATGAGATGTCTTTATAGCCTTATAATAAACCCTAGAGAACAACTTCTCTGACTGTAGCCATCTGCAATGATCACAAGAGTAGCTTACAAAATACTGACAGTCTTTATGGTAATGGGATGCATATGGCAGTCCACAATTATGTGTAGCTGCATTCAATTAGTGTTGTACAATTACACAGTTTTATTGCTTAGTTAAAACAGTGAAAGCACTACATACTGGGTAATTTGCACTAATCCCCGTCTCTTTAATAGCCCCTCGGTGTTTAAAATGTGAGGGAACATCTATAGTGTTTAAAGGGCTTGGGATGAACATTAAATTATATCTCGTGTTGTGAATACTCCTTGACTGACAATTAATGTACTCCCACTTCACGTGTGGGTAAAGTTTAATAGAGGCTTTAAAATACTTATAGCAAAAGGTTATTTCTTTTTCTTTTTCTTTTTTTTTTTGAGACAGAGTCTCTCTCTGTCCTCCATGCTAGAATGCCATGGCATCATAGCTCATAGGGGAAACTCAAACTCAGGCTCAAGTGACCCTCCTTCCTCAGCCTCCTGGATAGCTGGGGAACTACAGGTGCCCACCACAATGCCTGGCCAGTTTTCTCTATTTTTAGTAGAGATGGAGTCTCGCTTTTGCTCAGGCTGGCATTGAACTCCTGGCCTCTGTCTCCCAGAGTCCTGGGATTACAGGCGTGAGCCACCGTGCCCTGCTGCAAAAGTTCTTCTTACACCAGAACTCCAGTTGCTGGTCCTGGCTGTACTTGCAGCCTGCTAATGTTCCTTCTGAAAGACACTCAGAATGAGGAGAAATGTTGGGGAACAAAGTCAGTGTGGATCAGAAAGTTGTACAAGTCAAGGATTTGGCTTTTTAAACATGAAGCTGTTAGAAGCCCCTCTGATTTCTAACCTTTATTTATTTATTCATTCATTTGTTTATTTGAGACAGAGTCTCACTATGTGTCCCCGAGTAGAGTGCTGTGGCATCACAGCTCACAGCAACCTCAAACTCTTGGGCTTAAGCGATTCTCTTGCATCAGCCTTCCAAGTAGCTGGGACCACAGGTGCCGCCATAATGCCCTGCTATGGGTTTTTTTTGGTTGTAGTTGTCATTGTTGTTTGGCAGGCCTGGGCCAGCTCCGGTGTATGTGGCTGGCACCCTAGCCACTGAGCTACAGGTGCGAGGCTGGATTTCTAACTTTTAATTAAAAATTTAGTTCATAGCTGCCATTTGGAAAAGTACTTTCTGGAGATGGTCTTGGGAGGATTTGTGTGTGTTTGTG